TGCATTGAGTTTGTAGATGGCTTTGGGTTGTATGGACATTTTAACAATATTAAATCTAATCTAAGAACATGAATGGATGTCTTCACATTTATTTGTGTCTTCTTTAATTTCTTTCAGCAATGTTTTGTAGCATTCAATGTATAAGTTTTCTTTCTTGGTTAAGCTTATTCCTAAATATTTTATTCTTTTTGATGCTATTATAAATGGGATTATTTTCTTAGTTTCCTTTTAGGAGAGTTCCTTGTTAGTGCATAAAAACACAACTGACTTTTCAGTGTTGATTTTATATCCTGCAACTTTGTTGAATTCATTCATTATTCTGACTATTTTTTGTGGAATCTTTAGGTTTTCTACATACAAGATCATGTCATCTGTGAACAGAGATAATTTTGCTTTTTCTTTTCCAATTTGTATGCTTTTTATTTGTTTATTTTTTGCTTAGTTGCTCTGACTACAACTTCCAGTACTATGTTGAATAGAAGTGGCAATAGTGGGCATCCTTGCTTTGTTCCTGATCTTAGAGGAAAAGCTTTCAGTTTTTCACTGTTGAGTATGATGTTGTGACCTTTTCATATATGACGTTTATTATGTTGAGGTAAATTTTATCCTGTTCTTAGTCTGTTGAATGTTTTTATTGTGAAAGTGTATTGAATTTTGTCAAATACTTTTTCTTCATCAATTGAGAGGATGATGTGATTTTTGTCCTTTGTCCTGTTAATGTAGTATATTATTACATTGATTGATTTTGAACCATCCTTGCATCTTAGGGATAAATTATACTTGGTCATGGGCTTAATTTTTTCTAATGTCCTGTTGAATTCAGTTTAAAAGTACTTTGTTGAGGATATTTGCATCAATATTCATCAGGGATATTGGTCTGTAGTTTTTTGGTAATATCTTTGTCTGGCTTTGGTATCAGAGTAATGTTGGCTTCATACAATGAGTTTGGGAGTGTTCCCTACTCTTCATTTTTTGGGAAGAGTTTGAGAAGGATTAGCATCAGTTCTTCGTTAAATGTTTGATAGAATTCTCCAGTGATGCCCTGTGGGCCTGGGTTTTTCTTTGTTGGGAGGTTTTTGATTACTGATTCAGTCTCCTTATTATATATCTATTTACATTTTCTATTTCTACATGATTCAGTCTTGGGAGGTTGTATGTATCTGGGAATTTATCCTGTCTTCTAGTTTATCTAATTTATAAGTGTACAGTAGTTAATAGCAGTCTGTTATAATTCTTTTTTCCTTGATATCCTTTTTTGAAAATTAATTTCTAAGTTAACTTAATAGTAATTTATGAATTTTAGAAAAATATTGATGGGGCACCTGGGTGGCTCAGCTGGTTGGGCATCTGACTATTGATTTTGGCTCAGGTCATGATCTCAGGGTCATGAAATTGAGCCCCATGTTGGGCTCTGCACTCAGCTTGGAGTCTGCTTGTCCCTCCTCTGTGCCTCCCCCTGCTCTCTCTCTCTCTCAAATAAATAAATAAGATCTTAAAAAAAAATTGGTAATCCCCCGCAATGCAAGAGTGTTTTTGTTGCTTTTGTATATTCTATCAATTTATATATATAATCTATATTTTACATAAAATATATAAAAGTTTTTTTTTAATTTAATTTTATTTTTGTGCCTATCCAGTGGAGTCTATGTCCCCTCTCCTTGAAGCTGATTGGGCCTCTGTGACTGTCTTGACCAATAGAATAGGGCTGAAGTGATGATGTGTGACTTTTGACGTCTGTCACAAGATGCCTTGCACTTCTCCTTTGCTCTTTTTGGTTGCTCATTCTTGAAACTCGGGTACCTTGGTGTCAGACTAAATCTGAGGAGAAGCTTGGTGAAGAAGAATTGAGGCCCCTAGCCCACAGCCCTGGCTGAGCTCATATAGTCAGCATCAGATTACAAGCCAGTGAATGAGCCATCTTTTTTTTTTTTTTTTTAAAGATTTTATTTATTTGTCAGAGAGAGTGCACGAGCACACAAGCAGGGGGAGTGACAGGTAGAGGGAGAAGCAGGCTCCCTGTGGAGCAAGGAGCCTGATGCAGGACTCGATCCCAGGACCCTGGGATCATGACCTGAGTCGAAGGCAGATGCCTAACCAACTGAGCCACCCAGGCATCCCGAATGAGCCATCTTTAAAGCAGACCTTCTGCCTCCTGTCCAGAGGCCCTCCTAATGCTTCGTGGATCAGAGATGAACTTGCAGATGTACAAACAAAATAAGTGATTCTTGTTACTTTAAGCCATCAGGTTTTGGAGTACTTTGCTACACACACAATGATAGATGCTCAGAAAACACCCTTCAAGTCATCTCATCTGTTTCTATGGCATTAACTACACTGATTCCCAGATCTGAACTTTCAGGTCAAATTTTTCTTTGGACTTCCTGACCCATATATCTAACTACTAATTAGATGTATTTCTCATATCTCTAACTACTAATTAGGTGTATCTCTCCTTAAGCTCAATATGTCCAACATCAGTGTGTTGTCCTTCTCCACCATCTGTTCTTTCTCCATTATCTTGGTTAATTTACTATCCAGTCATTCATAGCAGAAACCTGGGAAATCATTCTCAATTCCTGCATCTCCCCGCATCTAATTTTACATTTTAAATATCTTTTGAATTCTTCATTCTAACAGCCAATGCCTTAATCGAGGTTTTCACCATCTTTCATGTTCTATTTTAGTAATAGTAACTGATGTATTGGTCTATCTAACTGGTCTCTATTCCCCCCCCCTTTTTTTTCACTCCCTTGAAATTCATACTTGCCATTGCTGGCAGAATAATATTTTTAAACACACATGTTATATATAATATTTCTTACAATTTCTAAATGGTTTCAATTCATTTACAGAAGAAAGCCCCACTTTCTTAGGAGGAAATGAAGGTTTTTAATGATTTGGTTCCTTGCCAGATCTCCATCCTTATTGCTTATTCCTCATTTTCACTTTTTAATGCTGAATTACTGATTGTTCTCCAAATACACAAAGAAGGAACCAGGTCTTCCTGTTCCTTCAGGGTGTTCTACCCATTCAAGCTTTGGTATAATTCAGTTTGATGTGGTTGTAGGACTGAGGTCCCCACTTTCTTGCTGTTCATTGGCTGGTGTTGCTCTTAGCTCGTACAGGCTGTTCTCAGGTCCTAGACATAGGGCCTTCTCCAAAAATTGCAGCTTCCTCCTTCAGAGCCAGCAGGACAATCTCACTGCATTGTGCTGACAGTCTTCTATAATGTAATCTAATCAAGGGAATGGCTCTCCTAGGGATTGGGATTATACAAGATTTGTGCACCAGGAGTCTTGGGGACCATTTTGGAATTCAGCCTACCATGGGTAAATATCAATTTTTCTCTAGAAACTTTGAGGATTAACAAAAATTCTCAATAATTGCAAAGCTTGCAAGAAAGCATCTTCCTGTGGTATCTACTTTTATCCACTATTTGGTTACTCAGTGGCTCTTTCAGTCTGGCAATTCATGTTCCTTCAGTCATGAGAAGCTTCTGTGTTTATTTCAGTGACGATTTCTTCCTTCTATTTTCTCCCTTTTCTCTTTCTGGGACTCCTAGTTGGACATTGGACCTCTTGAACCTGTCCTTCACCTTTATTACATTTTCTCCTATTTTCTATTTTTGCTGTACTTACTTTCTGGCAGATGTGTTCAATTTTAACTTTTATTTTGTTACAGATGCAGTATCTTCCCATTACCTGGAGCTTATCGGTGGTGATTTTCTGAATCTGCTTCCTGAATAGTCTATGTTTTCTCCATGTTATCTGTTTTTTCTGGTTTCTGTCTTTTATGTTAGAGGCTTCCCTCAGATCTGTGTTACTCCTTGGATATCTGTTTGTGATTTAGAATATGAACCTAAAAACCTGATTGGAAATTCTGGGGCTGTAGATGAGACTTGTTAATTCTGAGCTCTGTAGGGTGATTGGACCTGGGCTGCTTTTTGGTGAACCCTAATGTCAGTATCCTCAGGCTTTTTCTTGGGCTTACGGTTCTCAGAAAAGGATCTTCCCTTCTTCTGCCCAGAGGACAGAAGTTTGGCTGCTTTTATTCTGGGAACTGAGTGGGTAGGGAGTTGGGGGCGTCTTAGCATTTGGTTACTTAATCCCCCCACTTCTGGCATGGTATTCACACTCTGAGATTTTTCTGAAGTCCCCCCAGATTTCTTCTGGTGTGAGGGAGGAACAGTTGCCTAAACTCATGGAGGTGGGAGGGGAATCTCAGGATCTAACCCCTCCAAAGCTTTTACCTATTACTCCTTATTTCAGAGCCTTCCTGCCACTGCCCTCCAGTATTTCTGTCCTGGTTCCAGAGATACCAGGCACTGACAGGTCCTGAGCAATTTTAGGGATGCTGCAGTTAAAATTGAATTGTTTCTTAGCTTTCTCTCTCATGGCTTACGGTTTTGCTTTGTTAGATTCTCCTAAGTCAGTTATTATTCTGTTCTTCAGCTTCCAAAAAAATGTTTGCCTTTTCTCTTTTCCTTTCTTCACATATATGTATGTTTATCTCCTTTAAAAAAATCTTCCTGCTATAGTTTTCCTGGGATTCCTGGAGGGAGTAAAATTAGATGTATATATTCAAACTGCTGTCCTAACTCAGATGTTCCTCATTGTTTTGTAATGTGTCATTAAATTCTTATACAAAAGAATTTATTCCTGTTATTCTATTTCATTTGAAATATCTCTTATCAGTACCACACTGTTTTATTAATTGTTTTTTAAAAATTTCTTTATAATATGCTTATTCCTTGTGGTTGTAATTTCATGTTTAACTCTTTGTAAATGTGTTAGTTTTATAATGCTTAAACTATATAGGTACATTGGGAGGATTAACCTTAGGAAATAATGAGGTCATTTCTGTTAATATTGGATTTATTTCACAGACTTGTATTTTTTTTTTTACTCATGACTTTATTAATAAGAATTAGAGTTTAAATCCAAATGTTGGAACCCTCTTCTCACACAGTGAAGACCTTTTGTTCTTTTTTTAAAATGAAGACTGAAGTTGCTGAAGACCCTCAACAGGTTTCAACTGTTCATCTCCAACTAGGATTACCACTGGTTTTTATTGTTAGTCAGCAAGCGACGTATGAAGCTGATAGAAGGACTGCAGAATGGGTTGCTTGGCGTCTTCTGGGGAAAGCAGGAGTTCTACTCTTGTTAAGGTACCTTAAACATTAAATATTCACTGTATTTAGCAAAACACTAGAGTTTTTCTCTTTTTAAAATATGGTAATATATTCACTTGTAAATAAACTTAGATCTCTAGTAAATTCTAGTATTAGTAAATTCTAATAAATTTACTCTAGTAAATTCTAATAGAACCAGTTGCTAAGCTAAAGTCTGTACATTAATTATTAACTTGATTAAAATTTAGACCTTTAAACTTTGCTAACCGAAGATGAAGATGGAGACTGGAACATCTAGTCTGTATTTATGTCTAAAATTTCTCAGACTTACTAAATTGTAATCTTTTTTCATAAATTGTTTTTATGTAAGAACTTAAAGTTCTTAGTGTAAGAACTTAAAGTTCTTAGTGTAAGAACTTAAAGTTCTCTTTTATGTTGACATCCTGGATGACTATTCTTCAGATTAGCCATATAAAACATTTATTTCCATTTTGAAAAAGGGACTTTTTGGAAGTGGACATCCCTCGGCATGCTAATGTGGTCTTCAGAAGAGCAGAAGAGGTTAGTCATTTGATGTATTGCTCTACAATGTCTGCTTATTTAAAGAAAGTTAATACGTGTGGTCATAAAATAATATATGCTTATTACAGAAAAGAAATTCTGTAAATTGCCACTAGTCAAAGATTATTGCTGTTAACATTTTGGTGTTCTTTTTTTTTTTTTTCCCATTTGTTAGTCTCTTTTCTCATGTTCATATATATATATATTTTAAAGAAAATTAGGATCATGCTATATATCCTACTTTTCGTCTAAAATTATATTTAATTACTTGCTATTGTGCCATGATGCCTGCCTTTGTACCCTGTTTTGAATATCACTGGTTCTTTCCTTTGGCTAAATTTCTGGAGGTGAAGTTTGTCAAAGGAAATGGGGTTTTTTAAGGCTGTTAGAATACATTGTCAAATTGCCCTCCAGACACCAGCAAGGTTTGGAATTCCTTGCTGCTCATACATTTTGCCACTACTGAGCATTACCATCTTAAAAAAAAAAAATCTTCTCTATCAACAAAGTTCCTGTTTTAATTTGCATATTTTTGATTACTGGTGATGTTGAACATTTTTAAAAGGCTTATTTCCCGTTTATTTGCCTTTGTAAATTTCTGTTAATGTTCTTTTTTTCTTATATTTTTCTTAAAATTTTTCTTAATTATTGAGAACTCATTAATTCTGCACATTTCAAAATATTATATAAATATGCTAAACGATTGATGTGTTTTTGAACTGCCAGTTTTTTTTATGTTTATCACATACATTACATCATTAGTTTTTTTTTTAATTTTTTTTTTAATAATTTTTTATTGTTATGTTAACCACCATACATTACATCATTAGTTTTTGATGTAGTGTTCCATGATTCATTGTTGGCGTATAACACCCAGTGCTCCATGCAGTACGTGCCCTCTTTAATACCCATCACCAGGCTAACCCATCCCCCCACCCCACCTCCCCTCTAGAACCCTCAGTTTGTTTCTCAGAGTCCGTAGTCTCTCATGGTTTGAACTGCCAGTTTTTTTTTAATTTTTTATTGTTAATGTTAATCACCATACATTACATCATTAGTTTTTGATGTTCCATGTTTCATTGTTTGCATATAACACCCAGTGCTCCACGCAGAACATGCCCTCTTTAATACCCATCACCAGGCTAACCCATCCCCCCACCCCCTCCCCTCTAGAACCCTCAGTTTGTTTTTCAGAGTCCATCATCTCTCATGTGAACTGCCAGTTTTTAAAAACATTTTTTTAAATTTACCTAAGTGATCTCTGCACCCAACATGGGGCTCAAATTCATGATCCCAAGATCAAGAATTGGGTGCTCTACTAACTGAGCCAGCCAGGGGCCCCTGAACTGCCAGACAATTTAAACTTAAATTCTCTTGCCTAGGACTATGGCATGAATACTGGGTCAAAGGTCAGAAGACTTGGATTCTGTTCCTTCTGGTTCTGGAACCAGATTAATGAATTAACTTCTCCAAGCTCAGTTTTCTCATTTGTGAACTATTCATAAAACCTTCCCTTCTAACTTACAAGAAATTTATAAGACAAAATAGGAAAATACTTTGAAAACTCTAGTATTGTTCAAATGTGTATTGTTCAAATGGGGCTAGTATGCTCTGCTTTTTGGCTAAGTCATGGAAAGAGTACTTTCTGAAGCTCTTTTTTTGCTGGTAGATCAAGATCCTTAAATAAGAAATTATAATATTTATTATTAGGAAATAGGTTTTATGGAAAAATTAAAGTTCATTATGGTTTCTGACTTCTGATGTCTTAAATTGTTAAAATGTAACAATTTTGTATAGCATGAGGTAAGGTAGGTTATAAGATAGCTATCTCTGCAAAGAAATTTTCTGTAAAGGATAGAAGAGTCTTTTCTATGAGTCTCTTTATTGAATTCAGTGTAAATCTTTTTTTTTTTTTACCTTCTCATCAGGGCAATAATGTTCATCCTGGGTTTGTATAATCATTCTCTCTCTCTCCCTTTCCAGGCAAAGGGTTTGAGGGTCCTTAAAGTATAGAACTGCTTACATAGATAGTATTGTATGCTCATATTACTATATTACAAGCCTTGCATAGTAAGTTATAAAACATATCTTTTAGTATTGCATTAGTTCTTCAGAATTTTTTTTCCTATGGCAGTAATTAGCAATATAGTATTAAGAGTTTACGCTATAGAATCTTACTGCCTAGTTCAAATCCAACTTTGTAACTCTGGGCAAATTACTTGACTTCTATATGTCTCTATTTTTTTTTTTCATTGTAAAGGAGGGTTAATAATAATATCTACTTTAAAGAGTTGTTGGGTCAGTATATTAAAAGAAATAATGTAAAGTGCTAAATTAGCACAGGGTCCAATACATTCATAAGTGCTCTGTAAATACTATGCTCATCCATTCATCCTTTCCATACATATTTATTGTGTACCGGCTTTGTTTCAGGCACAGTCCTAGGCTCTGAGGATATAGCAGTGAACAAAAGCAAGTTTTTGCCCTCATGGAGCTAATATACTAGTGGCAGGAGACAAACAAAACCAGTATAGCTAGAATGTCAGATGGTGTTAAGGACAATGGAAAAAAAAATCAAGGTAAGGTGAGAGAGTAGTTTCGGAAGATCTCGCTGATTAGTAACAATAAAGTAAAGGAACATGCCTGTGGATATGTGAGGAAAGAGTGTTCTAGGCTGAGAGGACACACATGCAGAAGGCCTGAGGGGAAGAATTGTTTGTGTTTTAGCATAGTATTATGAGGAATAGTATTAATGCTTAGGATCTTTCTTAGTATCTAAGTTTTTTGTTTTTTTTTTTTAAGTTTTTTTATTTGACAGAGAGAGACACAGCGAGAGAGGAACACAAGCAGGGGGAGTGGGAGAGGGAAAAGCAGGCTTCCTGCTGAGCAGGGAGCCCCACATGGGGCTCGATCCCAGGACCCTGGGATCATGACCTGAGCTGAAGGCAGACGCTTAACGACTGAGCCACCCAGGTGCCCCAGTATCTAAGTTTTTAAAAGCCCTTTTTAGTTCCTTTCTTCAGAGTTTTTTTTTTTATATGAAATCAAAGAAACTGAAAAGTAGAAAAATACAATGAACAACCATATACTTACTACCTAGATTCAACAATTAATATTTTATCATATTTGCTTCACCTATAATTTTTTTCTAAAGCATTCCAGAGAATGTTAGATATCATGACATTTACAGATTCATAAATATCCAGCATGAATCTCTAAAAATTACTGTTCTTCTTCTTTGTACAATCACAATTTTATTACCACACTTAACAAAATTAACAGGAATTTGTTTTATCATAGCCTAATCTCATAGCCAGTTCATATTCAAATTTTTTCATCTAAAATTATTTTCTATAGGTGTTTTTTGTGAACCAAAATTTAGTTAAGGATTATGAATTGCATTTGGTGTGTTTCTTAAATGTCTCAATGTCTTAACACTCCCTCTCCTTCTCTCCCATGATATTGCCTTTTAGATAAATGGGCCAGGTTTTCCATATTCTGGATTTGTCTGTTTCCTTTTGCTTTTGTCTGCCTTGCTCCTCTGTTCCCTTATGTTTTCTAAAAACTGGAAGTTAGATTGCCTAGCTCCATTAAACGTTTTGGGTAAGAATACTTAACAGTGCTGGCTTATTGGTATTTTATCTTATTCTAACATGGATGATATCTGGTTTTCTCAATGATGCCACATTTGATTACTGAATTAAGGTGGAGACAGTTAATTCTCTCCATCATAAGATGCATTTCCCTTATCCAATTAGCAGATAAACTGTAGGTAGAAATGCAAATAAAACCACAAGAGATACCAATACTCACCCCCTGAATGGCTAAAAATTTAAGAAGTAACAATTCCAAGTGTTTTTAAGAAGGTAGAGTTACAAGAACTTATTTGGAGTGAAAATTAGTACAATGAAAATTGGAAAAATATTTGGCAGTGCTTCCTGAAGCTGAGGCTATCTATATATATATCATGTGAATGAGCAATTTCATTCCTAAGCATTGCCCAACAGAAATGTGTATATACACGTGCACTAAAAGACAGCTATGGTAATGTTCATAGCAGTTAGTATTATAATGGTCCGAAGCTGGAAATAACACATGTCCATCAGCAATAGAATGGATAAACACATACATACATACGGTACATACTAGTATATTCATATAATGAATACATCATTGAAAAAGAATAAACTGCTTTTAAATGTAACATGGATAAACCTCACAAATAGTGTTGATCAAAAGAAGTGGTCACAAAAAGAGTACAAGCCATATATAGTTATATTATATAAATTAAAAAACTGACAAAATTTATAGATGGTGATGAAAGTCAGAATAGTGGTTACCTTTGGGGGAGGGTAATGACAGGAAGAGGGAAGAAGATGGCCTCTCGGTGTGCTGGTAAGGTTCTGTATCTTAACCTGTGTGGTGGTTATATAAGTATTATCAGCTCTGTAAAAATTCATCAAACTATACACTTATAATTTGTGTTCTTTCCTGTGTGGATGTTGTATTTGAATAAAAAAGTTTACTACCACAATATGTATGTATACTTCAAACAAATTTGGTTTGACTTTAATCACTCTACCTTTTAACTCCGTTATTATTTCCACAGAAGTAAAAAGTTGCTCACTTTGAATGTAATATTAAAAAGATGAATATGTGATATCAAAGTACAAACACACTTAGAGTTATTTTATAGCTTTATTCTCATGTATAGTTACAGTCAGGAATGGTTTACTGAAATAATCTAGTGGCCTAAAATTTCATGTTTTTAAGATGTGATAGTTGGGTATTAGTAAAAGAAATTATAATGGAATAATCTCAGTGGGCTAGATTTGGTATTCTTAAAATACCTGGCAGCAGACTGTAGTTTTATTTTAGTGGAATTATTGTAGGATGAGATATTATTTTGAATATTTCTGTGGAATATCAAAATAATTTTGATGGCCCTATTTGCAATTAAGTTTTATATTGAAGTGGGACATGCAGTTATGTGTGAAATGTTGCAGACTTCAGTGTAATGCAGTTATGTCAAGCAAGTGAGACTCAGTTCTTTTTTGCCTTTTTTTTATTAGTACACACTATTTTATATAAGGTATGCTTTTGATACTTTTCATAATGATTATGGAATTTCCTTTTTTTGTCCTACTTTTCAAACTGAAGTTCAAAGATTTAGTTTCATTTTAATATCAAGTAAAACATTTTTATTAAAATGCTTTGGTATATTTTTAGTCATGATTTTAAAAATGAATGTATTTCTAGGGAGTGCCAGTGGAATTTTTGGTCTTACATGATGTTGATTTAATTATATCCTGTGTGGAAAGTAATATGCACATTGAAGAAATACAAGAAGACGAAGATGACATGGAAAGTCCAGATACGGGTAATACATTTTGTGATGCTCCTTTCCCCTCCACCCCCCATTCCTGCTCGGCACCCATGAGGTCAGTGAAATTTCAATGAATTAACTTTCTCATAGAATGTTTTGACATTCAAGACTATGAAAATACCTGGAGAAACCTATTTTGAATGACATTTTATCAAGTTGATTTGGTGGAAAAGGTAAGGATGCTGTATTTTGTTGAATGTGATACCTTTCATAGTTACATGCCAGGCTTCTAGCTTTCCACATCTGTGCCTTTATCTTCTAAATCAGTTCTTCCAGCCCTCCTGGTCTATTCCATGTTTAAAAATGACTCAGGGGCCACAACAGGGTATTTTATTTTTATTTTTCCTATTAGGAAATGAAATTCTAATAAGTATTGTTGGATTTGTAGTTGTAAATAAATCTGATGACAGTTTGGGAGTAAATTTCAATAACATTTAAAACCTCTTTTTAACACATTATATTTCTTTTTATTGTACTTATTGCTTATGTTTTTTAAGTATTCTATAGTTTCAAGGCTATTCTCCTACACATTATTTACTTTGGTTGAGTTAGCTGATGTCACCTTCACTTTGTAGATGAAGAATCTGTGTTTTAGCAGGATTAAGGGATCTACCCAAAGTCAAACAAATGGCATGTGGTAGAGCCTGGACTAGAACTTATTAAGCATTCTGACTTGAAATCTTATGTGTTATCATTATTGTTACTGACACTTCTTCATAACATTAATCCTATCCTGTGACTGCTCACTTGCTTTTCTCTCTTCTCCACTAGTGTATGATATCTCTAAAGCAGGGATTATGTCTTGTTCATTTTTGTATTGCATTTAGTATATACTTGAATGTTTTACATAGTACTATTATGAGTGCCAAGAAGGGAGTAATTTACATATTCTTTTTGTGAGGTCCATTCATTATTTTGATCAGAATCGATATTATAAATTTAATAAGGGCTCTGAGATTTAATGGTTACCAGTGACCAGTTTTTTGGTTTGAGCTATGTTCTAGCTCTTTTCTAATATGCAGAGGTTGGAACTGCTCATGGTTTAAGCCAGAGTTCTCTATAGCATTGTCATTACATAGACCTGTGTTCTGGTCTCTTTCTCCCAGCTCTGTTTTCTATCATGGTTCATAGATTCCATCTTCCAGTCAAGGGAATCGCCCCAGTGTCAGCTTAGTGAGATTCCTGTTCTCAGTGGGAGTTGCTTGTTTCAAGATTTCCTTGTTGCCACATCCCCTTAATTTGCCCTGTGGTGCGGCCTTCTCTTTCTTCTCGACTGTCTTCTTTCCCCAGCCTAGTTCTAGGATTCCTTTTACAGCTTTCCCTTTTGTTTCTTGTTTTGTTATGGGTTTTGTTTTGTTTTGTTTTTTTTTTTGGTCTTAACTTTCTACGTCTATAATCCATATTGGCCCATAATAGTGTATGTAGTCATGTCCATATACATAATCCCCCCACCTTGTTTTGTTCCCATTTGTATAGGAAAAATATACAGTATAGGAAAGAGTTTGTTACCATGTGAGAGCACAATGCAAATAAAAATGTCCTTCAAAGGAAATGGGCACAGAATGAATCAGAGTAAAATGGACTGAATTCTACAAAAGGATGATATGGAAAAAATATTACACATGTATGGCTTAAAAGAACGTGTGTATATATTGATGAATAGGTGAAAGATAGAGCTAAAGAGTGGATCAATTTAGAAGTGAGGGTAGCATATTGAGAGAGAGAGAATAGGAAAGAGGGGAAAGCAAGTGTTGGAAGAAGAGGACCAGAATGGATTGGGAAATAAGAAAGGACTGGAAGGAAAACGAAAATATGTGAATAAGAAGGAAAAAATACAGTAAATAGGAAAATAGGCCTTTATTAATTTTGGTATTGGAGTTGTAACTTGTTAGTATCATAGAATGTGGTGTTTTAAAGTTCCTTTAAGTTAGTATAGTGCAACTCTTATGTTTCAGATTTGAACACTGAGGCCCGTAGAGTTATGTGACCCACTAGAGTCACAAAGCTGAAACCTGTGGAGATGCACTGTAATTCAGAGCTGGTATTTTATTTTATATATTAGAAATCATATAAAAATAATATTTTCATTTTTAAATTGTCTTCCTCTGTTCTTTGTAATGTGTTATTATAAAGAATTATGAACTTAGCATAAAGTAGACAGGATAATAGAACAAATCTCCTGGTATCCATTACCTGGCCCCACCCAGCTACATGGCTATCCTGTTCTAGTCACTGCTATTATTTTGTTGCAAATCCCAAATATGTAGTTCCATCCAAAAAGATTTCCCTGTGTATTTCAGAAATATAAGGATTCTCCTTTTAAAATGAACATAATGAACTCTGGGTGTTTTATGCAACTGATGAATCACTGAATTCTACCTCTGAAACTAATAATAGAATATATGTTAATTAAATTGAATTTAAATAAAAAATTTAAAAAATAAAAATAAAAAATAAAATGAGCATAACTGGGGCGCCTGGGTGACTTAGTCCGTTAAGTGTCCAATTCTTGATTTTGGCTCAGGTCATGATCTCAGGGTCATGAGATCAAGTCCTATCTCGGGCTCCATGCTGAGCATGAAACCTGTTTGGGATTGTCTCTCCTCCCCGCCAACCCAGGCTTGTGCTTGCTTGCTCGCTCTCTCTTTCTTTCTAAAAAAAAAACAAAAAAAAAACCCCCCCCAAAACCCCCCCAAAAAACAAAAAAACAAAACCAAAAAAACCTCTCCAAACCCTCATAATTATTGCTATTATTACATCTCAAAAACTAACAGTACTCTTTAATATTGTCAGTGTTTGCATTTCCATTTGCATGCTCCTTCATGCCACTGTGCCTTTGCACATGCTATTCCCTTTGCTCTGTATGCCTCCACTGCCTTCCTTCACTGCCTACCTAAGTTTCATTTTCTTTTAATATTCAGCTAGTGTGAACTCTTCTAGGAAACTTTGTCTCTCTAATCAAGTCAGATGTCCCTTCAGTGTTACCATATAATCTGTACAGACTTCCAACAGAATATTTACAAATGCAAAAAAATTTTTTTTAACCCCATACATGGATGGATGGATGGATAAATGGATGGGTCCACTGGTTGGTTAGTTGGTCTAAGTTAACGATAGGTTTTTACATATTCAGAATCCACATAACTTGATGTACTTAGAATAAAATCTAAAATTCTTGGCTCATATGGCTCTTTATGATCTAGCTATTGCCTAGTCTGGAGTTTTGTCATGCCATTTACTCCTTCATCGCATCTTGTTTTAGCCAAATTTGCCTTCCTTCAGTACGTAGTATATGCTAAGCTCTTTTATATCTTAGAGCCTTTGTATATGTTTTTCTTTTTGCCTAAGACATTTTTTTTTTTTAAATTTTGGATTCTCTAGCTGGAAGGCTTTGGCTCTCCCAATCTAAATTTCCGTATTACAATCTCTCATGTACCATTTTCTTTCCTTAAACTGACATAATTTGTAACTATGTGTTTATTCAGTGATGAGTTTATTGTCTCACTTTTCTGTAAATAGGAGCTCCATGTGGTCAGGGACTAGTGTCCATCACAGTGGTTGTTATACAGTGGAATTTGTATTTATATAAGTTATGTATTTATATACACATTATTTTTGAACATTTTAGATATTCAAGATGATGAAGTGGCAGAAACTGTTTACAGAGATAGGAAGAGACGGTTACCTCTGGAACTCACGGTAGAACTAACAGAAGAGACGTTTAATGCGACAGTAGTGGCTTCTGATAGCATAGTGCTTTTCTATGCTGGTTGTGAGTATGAGCCTTTAGAGGGGGGACTATTACGTATTAGAGGATTTAAAGTTGGTGGATTTTATTTTTGCATTCTGTATATTGCATGTGGTAGAATGACATAGCTTTTGCACTGTCCCAAGTAGACTGCATATATTGAAAGATTTACTAATTTACTAATTTAGAAAAATTATTAATTCAAGCTAATGTTTTTAATATATTAACAGTTCTTTTTAAAAAATATATTACAAATATATTAAAATATATTCATAATTCTTATGAATCTATAGGACGTATATTGCTTTTACCTTCAAATAATAGCCCTTCAACTATATCCCTTGCAGTCTGAGTGCAGAAAATTAGTTGCATTTAGAATCCTCTTGAATGTTTGTACAATATTGAGTACTGTATATTAAAATATTTCTTATGAAGGAATAACAATTTTAGGAAACCCTATAAATCTATATGTTTGTTAATGTATAGGTATGGATGCTTTGGAGATATGCATATTACAATATCTGTTGAATTTTTTATTTTAATGTAGGGCAAGCAGTATCCATGGCATTTCTGCAATCCTATATAGATTTGGCAATTAAATTGAAAGGTATGTAATATGGTATGCATGCTTATTTTCTTGATTCTAAGCTATAGCTATTTGTAAAGCCATATCATACTAAAGATGAAGAAAACCACAGAAAATTTCACGTTATTATATTTGTGTCTCCAGCTTTATGTTAATGAACCATGAGTTTCAGAAATGCTCAGAAGCATTCATCTTGGTTCTTTTCATGGAACTGTCTTCAGTAGAAAGTAGAGAGCCTATGTATAAAGTACTTGTGGCCCTGCAGTTAATCCAGTAATCTTTTTGGCTGAATTCATTCAGCAAACATTTATTGAGTGCCTACTCTGAGCTAGTTACTATTAAATATTATTAAACAAATACTAAATACACTTAAACAAAAATGTGACAGATAAGACCCAGTCTCACAGTCTAACCAAAGATCTAAGATCTCAGTGTTCTTAAAGCTATTCAGTTAGCTCCTTATGAACTGGGATATTTCTTAATAGCCAAGATCTTTTAACTGTTCTATGAAAACCTGATCCAGGGGTAGGTAAATAATCCAAGGAATAGACTTGAACTCAAAATATCTATGCCATCATTCTAGCAAAGACGTACGGAGAGGTAGGGAGGCATGTTAGTAAGAGAGAAATAATGATGGATTAGGATAATGTTTTATAATCATTTGAATCAGACGGAATGTATCATGCTTCGTATCTGTAATACAATTTTCTCCTACTGTTTTTCTTGTTTTTTCTTAGCTATTCCAGTTAAATGGGCTTATTCTTTTAGCTACTTTAGGAATGTATCCACCATTTAGTTTTTTAGGTTCTTTAAATTTTTAGTAAGTTCTTTATGGGTAGGTAGCGTACCTTATACTTAGCTCACTGGACTTGGCATATTGCCTTACATCGTAGAATATTTGGTATTTAATAATTGTTGAATAAATGAATAAGCTAATAAGGTAGAGTTTAGTGGAAAATGTCTACTAGTGTACAACTTATTTATATACTAGGGACTTTTGTGAACTTAAATTAATTCCAGAAAGTCAATCCTAAATATAACATGTTCTATGGTAATAAAAACATCAGAGATTTTAAAACTTTTCCTCAGTTCATTTCTCAACCACATTTTATCCAACTTTTGATTACTTCATTACCCGAGTGAAGAGGTGATTAAGTCTACAGATAATGTGATTACCTAATATATGTATATTTTTTAAGATTTTTATTTATTTATTTGACAGAGAGAAACACAGTGAGAGAGGGAACCCAAGCAGGGGGAGAGAGAAGCAGGCTCCCTGTGGAGCAGGGAGCCTGATGTGGGGCCCAATCCCAGGACCCTGGGATCATGACCCAAGCCGAAGGCAGACGCCCAATAACTGAGCCACCCAGGCGCCCCACCTAATATTAAAAAAAAAAAAAAAAAAATCAAATCCTGTTACTCTCTTTCAGATTCTCCTTTATAGTTGCAATCTATGGAAAGATTTAAGTTTCTTCTTTTAGGTTCCCCAGTCTCATTGGCAAAAAATTAGAAGAAAAAGGAAGGGGGGAAATATAAACCATAATGAAGGATTAATTGGATAATGTCCCTGAATAATAGAATTATCCCCCCACCGATCCCATTTGTCAATACCGTATGAAAATGGAAACAGATTCCCTTACATTCTTCTCTATTAATGATTGAATAAAGAGGCTCCCTGGCCCCTCAATGCAAGGACTCTGAGTTGTATGTGTTTGTAGAATAAAAAAGCAGATAGCCAACCCAAGACTTGATTTCCTTTTTCATTTAGGATGTTCTTTATGAGTAACAATCCTTTTAATAATTAGATAATCAGATAAAAGGACTGTTTCAGAAGTTCAGGGGGCTTAATATAGAAATGCATAGTATAGGTAACTATTTTATGTCTACATTGAAGCCCATACTATAACTTTGTAAATTGGGAGAATACTGTAATGCTTCGGGCATTTAGTCCTATAACCTTTCACATTGACTTTATGGAAAAAAGCCACTTTTCATCTAAGACGATGAAGAATATTTTATACTCAGTCACAAGGTGGCAGCAAATACCTACCTAGTGCCTAGTTAGCTGTAGCTAAGAGAATTTTTTTTTCTCTCTTTTTTTTTTAAAGATTTTATTTATTTGAGAGAGAATGAGAGACAGAGAGCATGAGAGGGAAGAGGGTCAGAGGGAGAAGCAGACCCCCCGCTGAGCAGGGAGCCCGATGTGGGACTCGATCCTGGGACTCCAGGATCATGACCTGAGCCGAAGGCAGTCGCTTAACCAACTGAGCCACCCAGGCACCCGAGAATTTTTTTTTAATCTTTAAATTAGGAACACCTTTGGAAATTCCTGCATTGATAAAGTATAGGGGATGTAATACTGCAGGCATCTTAGACTCTACTGGCAGACGAGCACGCAAAAGGGACCCACAAATTGAGCAGCAAAGGAGGTGGGGGAAATGAGCCAATTGGGGAAGGGGTTGCAAAAATCAAGGGAAGAGAGTGTCCAGTGGAAGCAGTTCGTGCTCATGAGAGGTTAAAATAAGAATGGGCTGTAAAAATATTGTCAAGTCTACACAACTGAGTTTTCTACATTAATATTTATAAAGTGCATTTCTTGTTGTTTAGGCACATCCAATATGCTGCTTACTAGAGTGAACTGTGCAGATTGGTCTGATTTATGTACTAAGCAAAATGTTACTGAATTTCCTGTTGTAAAGATGTATAAGGAAGGCAAGAGCCCGGCGTCTTACCCTGGAATGTTAGGAACTGAAGATCTCCTAAAATTTATCCAGCTGTAAGTATTCAGCTTCTCCCTAAGACTTAAATTTTGGGGTCTATAAACCTTCTAATTCCTATACTTTGTTGACACACTTTGAATAAGTTAAGGAGTAATGAATTGAAATCACAGGATAAGGTGAAGAGAGCTTATTCCTTCACTTTGGGGGAGATAGAAATTGTGTTTAATGAGGGTTTTTTTTTTTTATTAGACTAGTATTTAATTGTCTTTATTTTGTCAGATAGCCTGTGGAATACAGTATTTGCCCATGTTAGTAGTATGTTTTATTTTTTTGCAAGCTGAAAAGTATCTTTAAAAATTAATTTTGAATATAGTTGTATATTCATTCAGCAACAGGATTTCATGCCCAGTGAACATAACATCTGTCCAAGAAGCAGAAGAATATTTAAGTGGGGAATTATATAAAGACCTGATCTCCTACTCTAGTGTGTCGGTGCTAGGACTATTTAGCCCAAACATGACAACAGGTAAGTAGTTAGGTAATAGTTAAAAACTTGATTTTTTAAAAATGAATTAATATCTTTTTCAATTATAGAGAACTCAAATTATAGAATTTTGAAAATAGAGAAATTTGAAGGAAAAAATCTAAGATTATTTAGTTGTTAAATTTTGATATAATTCCTTCCCTCTTTTTTCTGTGCACCTATGTATTGCATATTTATATATATTTTAATGTGATTGGGCTAGTACTGTGTATCTAGGTTAGTATCTTGCTGTTTTTATTTAGTATTGCGTGGGTGCATTTTTTCCCTGTGATTAATATTCTTCAAAATCATCATGGCTGTATATTTGGATGCATATACCATAATTTATTTAACTGTTTACCAACAAATAACATCTCTTGTTTCCCTTTTTTCTTTTTGCTATAAAGAATATTTTTATTTATGTGTCTTTGTGTGGGATTTAGGTGATTTAATGGGTATAGATTCCCAATAGGATAACTTTATATTTTCTATAAACTGTATGTTATATGTGTTACTCATTTTTAAAAATGGGGTTTTAGTGCTTGTCTAATGAATTACTATGAGATTTTTATGTATTAAGGATATTAAGTTCTTGTCATTTTGTTTCAGTTATTTTCCCCCAGTTTGGTTGTTAGCTTTAATAATTTTATATCTAGCAGTTTAAAATTTGTTTTCAAATGTATTGATTTTGAGATTTATCCACCGATTTCAGTTATAGAAAATCTCTATCGTCCTTATCAGTTAATATTCACTTGTATTTTCTTCTTGCTTTAATTTATATTTTCTTACACTAATTTATAGTCTTCTTGCTTTGAATATTTTTTCTTTTTTTTAAAAATGTGATAAAATATATGTAACACAATTTACCATCTTAACCGTTTCAGCATATAGTTCGCTAGTGTCAAGTATATTTACGTTTTTGTGCTGCTAATCTCCAGAACTTTTTCATGTTTCAAAACTGAAACTCTGTATCTGTTAAACAGCTATTTCCCTGTTTCCCTATCCCCTGGAAGCCTCAATTCTACTTTGTATCTCTATGAGTTTGACTACTCTAGGTACCTCCTATAAGTGGAATCACACAATATTTGTCTTTTATTGGCCGGCTTATTTCACTTAGCAGGATGTCCTCAAGGTTCATCCATGTTGTATCATGTGTCAGAATTTCCTTCCTTTTAGGGGCCTCTGGGTGGCACAGTTGGTTAAGCATCTGACTCTTGGTTTCAGTTCAGGTTCTGATCTCAGGGTCTTGAGATCTGGCTCTGAGCTCAGAGAGGCATCTTCCCAAGTTTCTCTCTCTCTCTCCCTCTGCCCCTCCCTGCACTCGTTCTCATGCTTTCTCTAAAATCAATCAATCTTAAAAAAAAAGAATTTCCTTCCTTTTATTTTTTTAAATTTTATTTTTTGTTATGTTAGTCACCATACATTACATCATTAGTTTTTGATGTAGTGTTCCATGATTCATTGTTTGCGAATAACACCCAGTGCTCCATTCAATACAAGGCTAAATAATATTACATTGTATGTATGTAACATTTATCCATTCATCTGTTGATGGACACTTGGGTTGTTTTCACCTCTTGGCTAGTGTGCGTAATGCTTCTGTGAACATGGGTGTACAAATATCTCTTCAGGACCCTGCTTTCAGCTCTTTTGGATGTATACCCAGAAGTGGAATTGCTGGGCCATCTAATGGTCCTATTTTTAATTTTTTCAAGAACCACCATACTGTTTTCCCTAGTGGCTGTATCATTTTATATTCCCACCTATAGTATACAAGGGTTCCGATTTCTCCACATCCTCACAAACACTTGTTATTTTCTGCTTTTTTGATAGTAGCCATCCTAATGGGTGTGAAGTTTTGATTTGATCATGGTTTTGATTTTCACTTTCCTAATAAGTAGTGATATTGAGCATCTTTTTATGTGCTTCTTGGCCACTTGTGTATCTTCTTTGGAGAAATGTCTATTCAAGTCCTATGTTCAGTTTTAAATCAGGTTGTTGAGTTGCAAAAAAAAAAAAAGAATTCTTTATTCTGGAAATTAACCCTTTATCATATATATGAATTGCATATATTTTCTTCTGTCCCATAGGATACCATTCTACTCTGTTGATTGTGTTCTTTGATTTTTTTTTTCTTTTTTAAGTCTTTAACTATTTAGATATTTTTGTGCATGGTATAAGGTTAGGGGCCAACTTTATTTTGTCTGAATAGTTAACAGTTGTCCTTTTTTTTCCTCTCTTTTTGATTCCACCATCACCATATTAAATCCATGTCTGTGTGTGTGTGTGTGTGTGTATAATCTGTTTAAACATTTTGTTTTATTCACTTTTTTTTCAAAAGATTTTATTTATTTCTTAGAGAGAGTTAGCAAGAGCAGGAACACAAGCAGGGGGAGTGGGAGAGGGAGAAGCAAGCTTCCCATGGAGCAGGGAGCCTGATGTGGGGCTCGATCCCAGGACCCTGGGATCATGACCTGAGCCGAAGGCAGACGCTTAACAACTGAGTCACCCAGGTGCCCCTGTTTTATTCACTTTTATCTCCCTGTCAATACCTAATCTATTCTTTTTTTTTTTAAGATTTATTTATTTATTTGAGAGAGAGTGAGCGTGCAAGCAGGGGGAGGGGCAGAGGAAGAGAGAAACAAGCAGACTCTGCACTGAGCAGGGAGCCCGATGTGGGGCTCGATTCTAGGACCCTGAGATCATGACCTGAGCTGAAATCAAGAGTCAGATGCTTAACCAACTGAGCCACCCAGGCACCCCTCTAATCTATTAGTTTTATAATACATGTTGAATATATAATTAGGTCAACTCTCTTGTCTTTTATAAATTTTTTTTTATCTTTTTTGCCTTTTGGCTCTTCCAGGTGAACTTTAATCATTTATACATATTGTCTAAACTTATTTGTATTTCTCTTGCTTGTTTTATGCTCCACTAGTATTTTTTTAGTCTACATGGAGTATGCTTCTTTTGGTTTTATTTTCCCCAGAGCCAGAGAAGATGTTCTTTAAAAAAACAAACAAAAATATTTGAATCCATAAAATTAAAGACCATTTTTAATGATTTTGCAAGACTATGGACTCCAGGAAACAAACTGAGGGTTTCAGAGGGGGGTGGGGTGGGGGGATGGGTTAGCCCAGTGATGGGTATTAAGGAGGGCCCGTATTGAATGGAGCCCTGGGTGTTATATGCAAACAATGAATCATGGAACACTACATCAAAAGCTAATGAAGTACTGTATGGTGACTAACATAACATAATAAAAATAATAAAATTTTAACACATTTTTTAAAAAACAAAAACAAAAAATGATTTTGACTCCTATAGAAGATGAGGATGCTTTTAATTTCTTCTGTCATCTTTTTCTCTATATGGACCCCTATAGTCTCATATTATAGACTCAGATTATCATTATTGCTGAACTTTAATATTTTTGCATTATATATTTCTCTTTCAAAAATTTTTTGCACTTATTTTTCCAACATTTTATTATGAAAATTTTCAAACATAAAGCAAAGGTGAAAGATTTTATAATGAACATCCATATACCTACCATCTAGATTCTACTATTAACATTTAACTTGTACTTGATTTAGCACATACTTGTGCATCTGTCCATCCTTCCACCCATCAATTCATTCATCTTATTTTTGGTGCATTTCATATTAATGTTTTTTCATTCAGCTTTGATACAGTGCTTATAGCAATTAATTTTACTTTATTAGTTTGACATAGCATCATATAGTGTTCTTTTAATATCATAGCTTCTCTATTTTTATAATGTTTTTTTCTAGCTTCATAGGAATGCCTTTCAGTAAGTTGTAAAGGAAGGGTACATAGGGTTTTTTTTTCTAACCAGTACTATTGCTTAGAATGTTATTCTCTTGCCTTTGCATATGGATGGCTTCTTGAATTGACTGTGTAACACAACCTTTAATGTTTTTTTCGTCACATGTTAGCTGTTTGCATTTATCTAGCAAACCTGCCCCCTTATTTTTCTTTCATTTAAGATGAATTTCAAATTCTGAATAAAATTTTTTAAGGATATTTTTCTGAGAAGAGTATCCCCATATCTAGCATCATATCTACAGATAGCGGATACTGTTAACTAGTTATTAAATTTTGCTTTCTACAAATTTCTGTCTAATAATTGTTCCCCTCTATGTTGTCTAAGCCAAAATAACTTGAAAGAAATAATAAGAATGTGAATGTGTGTTCTGTGGCTTCCCATCTTAGAAGGCAAAATCATAGAGGGGATCGCTTTTTCATTTGTATTCTCTTTATAAAAAATTGTGAAGTGAATGAGTCTGTGGTTTACTCCTTTGTCTTTGCCTTTCTAATGTTTTTGCTTCTACCCGTTGACTTTGTCTTCAATCTACCTCAGGTGCCTGGTGCCCTGAGGTTGTCTATTATTTACTCAGGGCTTCCTTCCAAAAAGAATTAAGGTCTTCAGATAATAAAAAGTACAAATACAATAAAATCATTAAAACAAGAATAAGATTTAAGCTGTAAAAAGGGATAATTGTGTAGAATATTTAGAAAGCACTGCGGTTGGTCATAAAACTTAACCTTAAGCAATCTGGCAGCAATCGGAAATGAAAATGAAATTTTTGCCATCTTATCATCATTATATAATAAATGGCAATATAAAAGTTAGGATGCTGACTCATCCACAGAAAAAACTTTTCCCTGATTGTAAATGCTGAGAGGGATTTTTCATATTTTTTTATATAGGAGATATAGGGAACAGTGTACTTTATGATAATTCTATACAAATGATAAGATTTACACATAATTATCTCTTAACAAAAGTCAAAAGTATAGGGGCACCTGGGTGGCTTGTTAAATGTCTGGTTAAGTGTCTGACTTGATTTTGGCTCAGGTCATGATCTCAGGGTTGTGAGATAGAGCCCTGAGTGGGCCTCCGCGCTCAGCAGGGAGTCTGCTTGAGTTTCTCTCCCACTTCCTTCCCCTCTACCCCTCCCCCCACTCACGTGCACACGCACACGCTCTCTCCCTCCTAAATGAATAAATCTTTAAAAAATAAGTCAAAAGTATAATGTTAAACGACATAGAGATTGTTCTGGCATGCCAGAATGATGTAATCTGGATAGGATGCTTTTTTGTTATTTCACTAGATTGATTGTTCTCAGACTTTTCAGTCAGGTATTAGATTCTCTTCTTTTTTGTTTTTGTTTGTTTTTTGCAGATATTCATGTGATAGTTACTGAACTTTCAATGTCTATTGAATGAGAAAATGTATAACAATAAAAGGCTATTATGAATTCACTAACATTTTTATTTACATGTGTATTTTATTCGTAAGAGCTAACTACTAACATTTACCAAGCACTTATTTTATATCAGATACCGATTTATTGTTCATGTAGATTCTAATGATTTACAGGTTAATGTGGATTCCATGAGGGCTGAAATGTCTCCTTTGTCGAGTGTTGTATCTGGCAGGTCTCTTTACTTGAAAGATACTTATTAATTACAAAGGGAAAAAAAGGTATCTTGTGGGAATAGAATTTAAAGCTTTGTAAATGTCCTGTTTCTCATTATACTTTTGCATTCCAGTTTTAGAATCCATTGCTTGAAAGAGCTATAACTATGATGGTTGCCAAGTGGAAAATTTCTGACTCCCTACCTATTCCTTCTATATACGTACTAATATAGTTCACATACTACTGTACAACCTTTTCCTTTTCGTTTGTTTTTCAGTATAGATGCCTGAGTCCTTAATTTTATTCAGTAGGTTATAATTGGTTGCTGTCATGCCCCTTCAGTCTGACTCCTGTGTCCTTTTGACATATCTCCATCATTCTTTGGGTATGTCCTTTTGGCACAAAATGTTCCTAGTCCCATTCCTGGAATCAGCCATTTCTCAGCCAAGAGTCTAGGTTCCTTTTAGTGGGACATTGAATTTAGAAACCAAAATCTAGTGCCTGGCGTGTTCTTGCTTCTCAACTTTTATTGGTAGAGCTAAAAAATAGATGTATGTGTAGTATGTGTATATATGTGTGTCTATAAATGTAACATGTGATAGTGGGGGAAAAGCAGTATTGCTAAATTATTTATTTTATGCAATTAAAACATGTTTATAGTTACACAACTAAGTATTAGAGGTCACCATTAATATTACATCCCAAATATATTTATTGTGATATAAGAATCCTTTTATTTAGATTAACTGGTTATTTTCTTATACTTGGGGTTGCAATATATTCTGAAATATGTGTAGTTTTCACCAAGGAGGAGAGTGTGTCTGGTTTTAAATGTTCAGAGAAAAATTGAGTCTGGTTTAGTGGAAATGGATATGTATCTAAGGTCTACAGTTTTTATTTATTTATTTAGTTTTTGAGGTCTACAGTTTTAAATGCTTCCATTGCACAAGTAACAAGGTATATGAACAAGTGGATTTATGAAGAGCCTTTTAAAAAACATATTCATGTGGCTCAGTTGGTTAAGTGTCTGCCTTTGGCTCAGGTCATGATCTTGGGGTCCTGGGATTGAACCCCACATCGGGCTCCCTCTCAGCGGGGAGCCTGCTTCTCCCTTTCCCTCTGCTCCTCTCCCCCACTTGTGCATCTGTTTTTCTCAAATAAATAAGTAAAATCTTTTAAAAAAAGGAAACCTATGAGGAGAGACGCTTCTATATGAGGGAATTCTATGGAAAGAGTGTAATTTTCCACTGTTACTTGAAAAGAAGCTGAAACAGAGTCCACTATGTCATTGCTTTAGATAATGATCATCAATTACTAACCAGAATTTAGTTCTGTTTTGAGAAATGAGAATATAGGCACTCAGTCCTAATTGTTTACTTTTCTTCTCTCTCTCTCTCTTTTTTTTTTTTTTTGAGGGGGCGGGCAGAGAAGGAGAGGGAGAGAGAATCCTAAGCAGGCTCCATGCCCAGCGCTGAACCTGATGCAGGGCTTGATCTCACAACTCTGAAATCATGACCTGGCCTGAAATCAAGTTAGATGCTTAACCGACTGAGCCACCCAGGTGCTCCTTTGTTTACTTTTCTTATGAATCTTTACGACTTTGGTGTAACACAGGCCAAAGAAAACATTTTCATGGAGTAATAGTTTCTCATTAAATTCATGGTTATAAATGAGCTCTCAATGCTGCCTCCTGGCTGACTGTGCCACTAGTGTTTCTTAATCTTGTGGAAAGTATGCATCCTTTTTAAAGAACAAAACTTGTGGTTACCAGATGGTAACAGTGCTGATACTCACACCGTGAATACAGTACTGACTGCTTAGGTACAGATCTCTTGGGTTCAACGTGTCCAGAGTACTAGGTGCTTTATGACTCAATTCTTCCAGCATCGGTTTTCTGTTTGAACTGCCATGAACCTTCCATGCAGTGAGCTGAGTTATCGTTTGGCCTTCACTTGGCAAGAATACATCATTTTTTTTTAAAGATTTTATTTGTTTATTTGACAGAGAGAGATAGCGAAAGCAGGAACACAAGCAGGGGAGAGTGGGAGAGGGAGGAGCAGGCCTCCTGCCAAGCAGGGAGCCCAATGCAGTGCTCGATCCCAGGACCCTGGGATCATGACCTGAGCCGAATGCAAGCGCTTAGCGACTAAGCCACCCAGGCGCCCCAAGAATACATCATATATATAAGTTTACCTCTGTTCTTTTCTCATTAATCTATGACTATTTAATTCAGACTTGCTTCTTGGTTATAAAATACTCATTAACATGATCCAGAATATACTGTTATTTATGGAAATGTATTCAGAAAGCTACTGAAATAATTTTTTAATATCTGTATCCTAACAAATGAAAAAAGACTGATACACAAATTAATCAAAGTTCAAAAGTAACAAAAACACATTACAGAAAATATGGGAAATATAAAAAGACACAAATCCCTCATAATTGCTGAATCCTAACACAGATACTGTTAAAGGACTAGAATTTCTAGTCTTCTATTTTTTTCTGTGCATATAGGCACTTCTAGATTTTGTGATGATAATGTGTGCATCATTTCACATACTGCTTCTCTTTCCAGGCTATATGTAAGATAGCTGTTTCCATTTACCTTACCTTAGGAGTAGATTAAAAAGCAACAAATATTTATTCAGTAACTCTGTTGAGTTACTGATTAGATGTGCTATGATTAGAGTGCTATAAATTTGATAAATCACATTTAGAGTACATTTGTTTAGGGAACCATAATTACATTATATCAATTTACATTTCTGTAGTAATCAAAGGTCATAAGAAGAACACAGATTTACTTTAGAACCGCTAAGTTATATGAGGTCTACCTGTAAATATTTGTCTTAATAATTAATAATAAATTATAACCGTTTATAAATCTGTCAGTTGAATAGCACACATAATTTTAAAGGTTTCAGATTTTTGTCTTGTCTATGTATTTATAGCAAAAGAAGATTTCACTGAAGCAGGAAACTACCTAAAAGGATGTGTTATCACTGGAATTTATTCTGAAGATGATGTTTTGATACTGTAAGTTTGTTGGTATTCCAATTTTAGAGAGGAAGAAGTTTGCAAAATAATATATTGTCTTTACACAGTTGATGAAGGAAAATAGGTCAGCAATATAACTAAATTTTTAATTTTCTTCACAGAAGATCTGGGAAGTACCACCTGGCTATTTAGAATTTTTAGATACTCTTTTGCTTTAGGCTAGAGTCCCCATAGGGACAACCTTGGATTCATACTATTTCATCTTCCTATAAAAAATTTCCTCTTCGGTTTCTATTACTGCAGTTTTGGTTCTTTGAAATTATCAAAGTTTTTTGGGGAATTTTACATCTTGAGTGTCTGGGTTTTGATTTGCCACCAAGGTATATATAAAAATCAGAATTTTCTCATATTTCTACTAGAGTTTTAGGTGATATAACTATACCTGACAGTTCTACCCAATTTTGTTATTGCAAACATATACTAAATCGGTGCTTTTTTTTACCCACATTAGTTGCTTTATTTGTAGAATGTAGGACTCTTGTGAACTACCAGATAGTTGCTTCAGAATGAAGGACTGAACTGAAAATTTGGAGATTATTAATGCATACACAATACATACAGTAATACATGTACATCACATTCTGCATTAATGGCTTATTTTCAGGTGCAAGTGGAGTTGGTAAGTCCCAATAATTTGTCTTGCTTACCTCCTGACTGTAATATTCCTAATTGTGATTTCTGAGCTTACATCTTGCATCCTGAACACTGATGACATATGCTCTTCATGATTAAGCTCCATTTCTATCCATGAAATCATACTGAACTCCAGATCTTTAGAAAATATGAGACCTGTTCACCTGACACATGGACAGTCACCCACTATTTTCTACTCTGCTGTCATGGTGCATTTAGCTGTGGTCAGCTAATCAACTAAGAGAGTCTTTCAGGTAATTTGAAGACTGGACCCTCTACTAATGCTTTTAGTATTATAACATCTATACTTTGTTTTAGCATCAGTTGAGATTTTACATGATATAAATGTGACTACCTCACGTGTCATTTCACACCAAGCATTTTTTTTTCTATTTAATTTAGTGAGTTCCCTTTCTCGTTAGCATAAGTAGTGGTAAGAAGGAGCAGATTTGGGCTTGGTTACAGTGGAGAGAACATAGACTTTTTATCTGGGGCACCTTGGTTTGAATCCTATCTCTGCCATTTATCACTCTCTGAGTCCTAGGTTTCCTCCTCTATCAAATGCAGGTGATAGTGGCCTTATTATAGGGCCATTCTGAGGGTTACATAAAAATGAATGTACCTGAAAGAGTGCCTGGAAAATGGTAGGTTTCTAGTAAAGACTTTTCTCCTTGCTCAGCTGTATGGTGAGCAGTCCAAAAGGGTTGAGAACCGTGCAGTATGTTCCTAATCCTGTTTAGACATTTTCTTGATGGGTAAGTTGTCTAGAGGAAAAAAAAAATCTGGCTATATTATTTTCTGTTGCTTTCTTTTAATTTAGGTTGTCAAGGCTCCTGAACTTCCTCAGATAGCATTACACAGAAGATAAGTTTGCTGGGAAATTGAGTTCATTTTTTTCTTTAGTGGTAGGGCTTCCCCATTTGCTACTTCCCACTCTGACCGCTGGGGCTAATTGTTTATGTTTTTGATGACTTGCTGTATTTTATTGGAAATCTTAATACTGCGTTTCTCCATAGGTCAAATAAATATGCTGCAACCCTTCCCGCCCTGCTGCTGGCCAGACACAAAGAAGGCAAAATAGAGAGCATTCCATTAGCTAACTCCCCTGCACAAGACATAGTTCAAATAATAACAGATGCATTACTGGAAACATTTGTGAGTGTATTTTATAATAAGGATGTTATTTAAAATAAAATCTAGACCAGTTAAAAATAGTCTGTTTTAATATGCCATTTTCCAGCTTTTGTTGGCACAGGGCATGATGTTTTGTGAGCTGCAGATTCATTGGGTTGCTCTGTTTCATTGTTCACTCATGCATACAGCTTCTCCAGTCCACTGCCAAAAGTTTACATGTCTTTGAATTATTTTTACTGCTGAGACGAGTGTAGCTGATGGCCAGTTGAAGGAAGTACTTAATCTAGGCTGAAATTTGGTATATATATTAAAGCACATGGATTTTGGAGAGTCAGGCTACCCAGCTTCAGATCCTTGCTTGATTCCTTACTGGCTCTTAACTTCTCTCTGCCTCACGTTCCACATGTGTAAAATGCAGGTGGTCATAGCACCTCCTGCAGAGACTTAATTGTGAAGACTAAGACATCTGTATGGTGTTCTGTGTCATATTTGGCCCGTGGTGAGCATTCAACAAATGTTAGCTAGTATTCTTACTTACACAGTTTTGGGACAAAATAGTGTCTTATGAAAAGCCTTTTCCACTGCTTCCTTTGAAAATAGTGAATTCAAGGGCATAACAGTTGTAACCTGCATTTCTCAATTTCACTTGTTTTTGTATTTATATTAAACATAGCTAGAATATTGTAAATTTATGCTTTTCTGTATTTCTAAAGTGACATAAGAAGCATTATTATCAGCTATAAATACTAAATGAATATCCTCCTGTTGTTATGTTTCTTGCCATGATAGTCTAAATAACATTACATTTTAGGCTCAGAATAATGGCTGTAGTCTTTGTTAAATCTTTTTGTGACCTTGGTTCTGTTCCCTCCCTTCTTCCCATTAAAGTTACAGGCTATAATTAAAATCAAATCATTAATATTTTCAGGATGTAGTTTTCCAAATTATTGAGGTAACATTTTTGTATTTAATGACATGTTATTAAATGAATATTTCCTTAACCATATACATAGTGTAATATTTTTGGAATTATTATAAGCTTTTCCCAGATAATACAGAGAACTATTAAAGAGAAGAAAATTGGAATCAACCATATCCTCTTTGACCAAATTTAAATTGGGGGAAATATTTTCTCAAACATAAAAAAAAAATTCCATGTGTAGCTTTGTGATTGTCTTTTTATATAAGGGATATTTCCATCAAGAAATGAAGATATACATACTGTTTTTTTAAATATCTATATAATATTCTGTTGCACTAAAAAAGCCACAACTTATTTAATTTCCTGTTGATGAATTTTAAGTTGTCTTTAGTTTTACTCAGGGACCAGCCTTGTGCATAATCTTTGGGTGTTTCCATGATTCCATACTTATGGTAAATGCACAGATTTGAATTGCTAGTCCAAAGGGCATGCACATGTTTAAGGCTGCTGATACTTGTTCCTGTTTTGCATGAGAAGAGATTAGAACATTTTACTATTTCATCTTTGCTTGACTGGTAGATAAAAAATTGGCATCTATTTTTTAAGATTATATTCTTTAAGGCTGAGAAACTTGGGGCAAACTTAACTATCAGAATCTGTTTATAAGTTAAGCATTGTGGCAGTGTTTCCAGTTTATAGTGTTTTTTGGTTTACAGCGTTCGACTAAAAACCAAACAGCTATAATAAAAATTGTTTTGCTTTTAGTTTATGACCTTTCCATAAATTCTAAAACCCTCAAGTGGTTATTAAATTTTTTTAAAAGATTTTATTTATTTATTCATGAGAGACAGAGAGAGGGAGAGGGAGAAGCAGGCTCCCTGCTCTGCAGGGAGCCCGATGCAGTACTCAATCCGAGGACTCTGGGATCATGACCTGAGCTGAAGGCAGACACTTAACTGACTGAGCCACCCAGGAGCCCAAGGTTATTAAATTTCTTAAAGCTGCTCTATGTTGGAGATTTAAGTCTAGAGTATGTAGCAGCCAGCCAGCCAGCCAGCCACAAGCTCATCTCCTGGTCTGCACTAAGATGCTAGAAAGACTTTGGTTTCTTCATCTGGATAGGAAGGAGAAATAGGTGAACAGACAGTAAACATTTTTTATATGGCATTCAGTTTTTATTTTTTATTTTAATGAACCTGATGATAAATCAGGCTAGGTAAATAATGCCCAAATCTGAAATACACGATAATTAACTACATAAGCAATGATCTATTCAAGGCTGTCACGTTTAAACATAGTTTAATAGCACTTTGCTCAGATATGTTAATTTCCTTTAATTATAGCTTTTATTATGCATAAGTTAAAGCCTCTTGTATACTCAGATAGCCAAAGGACACCTTCCTATTACCATGTTTGATGACATTTTCTCTAAGTAGCAACCAAAACTATTGACAATGCTTTTTCTTTTCAAAATTCTCTGTTCCTCTGGCTTTTGCAGTTCAGTCCTCTCCAGATACCTCCTTCAACCTTCTGGCCACTCTAGAATTCCATCTTCAACCTTCAGTCTTTTTCTTCTTTTTGCTGTTCTTTCTTTGGGAAATTTTGTCCATACCCATAATTTCTACCATCAGTATACCAACTGATGATTCCTAAATCTGAGTTCCTGATCTTTTCCTCCTCAATTCACAGAACTCTTGGTCTTTCTTCCCTGAAATGCCTGTCACCGGTCTGTCTTTTCACAGATTTGTATTCTAGTTAGCTTTCTAAAACAGGCATAACCATGTCGCTCATTTGATATAAGATCTTCTCAGTATTTCTGAGAGCTAGAACACCTATCAAGGCATTTTCCCATCTGGTCTTACAGCCACATTTGCCTCTTGCATGCTCTCAGATCTCTCTGCCTATCCCCACGGTGCTCCCTATATCTGGAATCCCGGCTCTAGCACATACCTTCTTCTGTCAAGATCTTATTTCTTGCCCAAGGCCAGATCAAATATCACTTCCTAAAATCATCCACGAGCTCCCATACTTTGTTTTTTTTCTAGCTTAATTTTGTCCTACATTAAATTTTCATGGATCACAGCAGTTTGTCTACCTCTCTCCTCCTTTAGAGTAGGAGCACTTTGAGGGCAGGGAAAGTATCTTCCTTCTTTCTGATTCAGTACCCAGCATAACATTTTGAACTTTGTAGTGGTGGCTCCATCTCCCCTCGTTTCAGATCTGTTCAGAGTGAGGAGATCTGCTGGCCTGATGAGATCTATCAATTTTTGGAAGAGGATATAACCTGTGTAGAAGATTAAGGATGAGAATTAACATAAGAAGACAACATAGGGAAATTTGGAGAAGAGGGGATCTAAGATTTAAGTCATGAAAGAGGAAGGTGTGAGAAGAGGATTTCGAGTGTGAAAGAGAAAGAATTAGAAGAAAAATGAGAATTGGCAGAGGAAAGTGGCTTTGAGAACTAAATAAGGAAAAGTACATACTAGACTTTGGTATTTGGGCTTAAACTAAAGAGAAATGAGACTGATATTTTTATTTGTTTAAACATGTTTTGATTATATTAATTATGCTAAAATCATAAATATTGAAACAAAATAAGATTTTTATTTTAAGTAATCATAGATGTTGAAGGATTATACCTTTAGAGCTCAGCATTTTTGCCCCCAAAATTTTATGTTAGATACAATAAGAGTTTTGTTTGTCATATGTGTGTTGTCTAATCTGGTCCAGATTTCAGCATAAGAAATTATTAGAAGTGGTACATCCTTGTAAAACAGGGAACTCGTTTATCTTCAAATTAGCTTTATTTTGGAAATAACTCATTAAGTGAGCTTAAATAAAAAACTCTTGATATTTATAGTTATTAGTATAGGCAAATCTCCACTTAAAATATGTTTGAATTACATTTTACAAACTAAAATTCATGAGTGATTTAAACATTATTTTCTATTTTATGTCTCATCATTCTCCATGTTTGTTCTTTTTTAACAGCCAGAAATCACTGTGGAAAATCTTCCCATTTATTTAAGACTTCAGAAACCATTACTTATTTTATTCAGTGACGGCAGCATAAATCCTCAGTATAAAAAAGCAATATTGACGCTGGTAAACGAGAAACACTTGGATTCACTTACCCCTTGCTGGTTAAATCTGTAAGTATATTTTTATTTTTTAATATGTAAAAGGGAAGAAACTATAATGATTACATTTTCGTTAAGAAATGAAACTCTCTAACTGTATCTTTGGAGTTAATATTATGGGACCAGTGTATAAGTTATGATAGTTTAGTAACTCCCTCATATGGTCTAAGATGACCTTGTTTTAGATTGAATTCTGTTCTACAGTAAATTTTTTATTTTGCTGAATGGTATTTTTTTTCAGGGGTATATAGGTATAATTGACAAAATTGTAAGATATTTAAAGTGTACATTGTGGTGATTTGATACATGTATACATTGTGAAGGATTCTTCCATGTAATTAACATATTCATTACCTCACATTTTATGTATATATATACTTATATATATATATGGGGAGGGAGTAAGAACATTTAAGTTCTACTCTCTTAGCAAATTTAAATTATACAGTGTTCACAACTACAGTCACCATGTTATACATTAGATCCTCAGACCTTATTTATTCATCTTACAGCTGAAAGTTTCTTTCCTTTTCCCAACCTCTTCCTATTTCCCCCAACCCTGAGTCCCAGGCAACCACTTTTCTACTCTGGTTCTGTGAGTTTGACTTTTTGATTTTTCACATAAGTGATACCATGTACTATTTGTCTTTCACTGTCTGGCTTATTTCACTTGGCGTAATGCCCTCAGAGTCCATCCATGTTGTAGCAAAGAGCAGGATTTTCTTCTTTCTCATGACTGAATAATATTCCATTGTATATGTACCACATCTTGGGTTGTTTCCGTATCTTGGCTATTGCAAATAATGCTGCAATAAACACGGGAGTGCATATATCTCTTCACTGTCTTGTTTTCATCTCTTTTGGATAAATACCCAGAAGTAGGATTGCTGGATCAGATGGTAGTTCTATTTCAGTTTTTTGAGGAACGACCTTGCTGTTTTCCATAGTGGCTGTACCAATTTACATTCTCACCAACAGTGTACAAGGGTTCCCTTTTCTTTACATTTGTTATCTTTTGTCTTTTTGATACTAGTCATTTTAACAGGGTTGAGGTGGTATCTCGTGGTTTTGTTTTGCATTCTCTAATTTCCCTAATTAGTGATGTGGCGCATCTTTTCATGTGTCTGTCGGCCATCTGTATGTGTCTTCTTTGTAAAAATGTCTATTCAGTTCCTCTGCCAATTTTTAAATTGGATTGTTTGTGTTCTTTGCTGTTATGTGTGTTCTTTAGTTATTTTGGATATAAACCCCTTATCAGATAGATGATTTGCAAATATTTTCTCTCATTCCAAAAGTTGCCTTTTCATTTAGTTGATGGTTTCCTTTGCTATGCAGAAGCTTTTTAATTTGATGTAGTTCACTTATTTATTTTTACTTATGTTACCTTTTCCTTTTGGTCTCATACAAATTTTAAGAAGTAGTAATTTTTTTTATTTTAAAAGTAATTGATGTCCATTGAAGCAAATACAGAAAAATAAACATTGTGATATTTTGGCATTTTTCTTCAGTTCCTTTTTCTGTACTTTTATATTTTTAAGATGCAGCCTAAAATGTTACAAATAATTTTCAGTGCATTCACCAACAATATTTTCTGTTATGTTTTCTAGATGTATGGCTTGTGTTACATTTAATGTCTGTGAATGCAGTTCACATAAATACATACTATCGTTCAAATTCATCAAATGAAAAGACATTTTTAATTCACTTGAAAAACTACAAGAATGAGGCAATGTACATTTTTTTTTCCCCGTGAAGAGTTCACCAACAGTACAACATACTGCTTAAGACAAACTTTTCCCAGGGCTTTGTAGGTATCTCAGAGTAAAACAGTATTTTCCATAATGTGGGATGTGCTGTTTTAGGAAACCTAGGTATCTTAAAAGTTATGGTTTCTGGGTATGACCAAAACTTTTTAAAAAATGTTTTTAATTTGAAATTAACCCCTTCTCTTTGTTCCTGAGGAAAAACAACTTTATTTGGAGAAGAAGTATTTATTATAAATATCTTGTTATTTTATATTTTGTAACCATTTAATTTTTAAGGCGACATGTGACCAGATACTTGGCTTAACGTTGGAAGGAACCTATTGACTATATCAAACCCAAATTGACAGATCTTTGAACTATGACTGGTTTTCATGAAAATAGTCACTGACTGCCTTTTTTTTTTTTTTTTTTTGCCCTAAGAGAAACACAGTGCCCACGTTAAAAGAAACTCATTAAGAATCTGATTACTAATAACATAGTTATAGACCTCTTGGTTTTTAGGATCTCTTTTTATAAAATAAACTTAATGACATGATACTATATTTAATGTTCCACAACCTGTTAAATTCATAAATTTTTTATAGAGAGAAATAATAACGTGTTCAATTGCTCCCTTTTGCAGAAAGAATACTCCTGTGGGAAGAGGAGTCTTGCAGGCATATTTTGATGCTCTGCCTCCCCTTCCTCTTCTTGTTGTAGTCAATCTGCATTCAGGTGGCCACGTATTTGCATTTCCTTCAGACCAGGCTATCACTGAACAAAACCTTTTATTGTGGCTGAAGAAACTGGAAGCAGGACTTGAGAGTCACATCAGTAAGTTTCCTGTTTTAATACACGCAGTTATGTGTTTTCATAGATTTTTAAACGTGAATTATAGCTAATACATGCTAGAATGAGTTGAATTGTAATGTTTGTAAGTATCTTAAATATTAATATGTACCCCTGAGAAAATAAGTACCATTACATTACATTTTATTAAATTTAATGACAGTAATAACTAACATTTATTGAATGCTGAGTAGGTGTCTAGCACAATGCTAGGTGATTTACATGTGTTAACTCATTTAATTCTCCTAAGAGTCATAGGAAGTATTGTTACCTATAGAAGAGTTAGGTAACTAGTTCAAAGTTAAATAACCAGTAAATAAGGAAGCTTGGATTCCAACCTGCATCTCTTTTACTCCAGAGCCAGAATTTTGAACCGTAACAAAATAGATCTTGGTCAATTTATGATGCTGGCTTATGATATGTCATAGTCTCTACTTTTCTAAAACATATGTGAATTTATATCTGTGGTACAGATGTATATGTTAATTTATGTACAATTGTGGTAACAGGCCTGTTGCTATAATTTAAATAAGAAGTAATAAACTAGATCATTAGTATATTGAGGAAATAGTGTGAAATTTGATGTAATGAAAAATCTCTGAGATACTACCCAAGGATTTTGTTATTGGATACCAGATGAACTATATTTTGACATTGTTCCATGACAGAGTCCTGAAATAGGGGGTGTGTGTATATAAATATGTATGTGTATATATATATACACACACACACAGTTCTTGTGTACAAACTCCAATTCAGTGTTATATTGTCTCTCAGCCAGCTTGCATAGTGTGAATCTATCATTATATATATTTGTGTATATTTAGTCAGATACCTAATTTAAGTGTCAATCATTGCGGCACACCTGTTCTTTCCAGGTGGTCTGCTTCATTTCTGTTAAGTTAGGCAGTTTTAACGATGTTTAACTTGCCTATGGATGATATTTTTATATTGAAATCTAATTCGCATACCATAAAATTCATCCTTTTAAAGTGTACAATTCAGTAGTTTTTAGTGTATTCACAAGGTCATGCAACCATTACTGCTGTTGAATTCCAGAACATTTCATCACCCCAAAAAGAAACCCCCTACCCATTAACAGTCACTCTCTCTTCTCCTTCCACTCCCTGGCGATATACTTTATGTCTTGGTAGATTTACCTATTCTAGACAATTTATATAAATGGAATCATATAACATGTGGCCTTTGGATCTGGTTTTTTCACTTAGTATCTAAATTTTCAAGGATCATTGATGTTATAACATGAATCAATAGTTCATTTCTTTTTATGGATGAATAATATATGGATGAATAATATTTCATTGTATGGATATACCACATTTGTTTATCCACCAGTTGGACATTTGGGTTGCCTCCACATTTTGGCTATTATAAATAGTGCTGCTATGAACATTCCTGTACATGTTTTTTTTTTTTTTTTTCCCTCCTACGCCAGTACCACACTGTCTTGAATGCTACAGCTTTATAGTTGGCTTTAAATTGGGAAATTTGATCCTCCAACTTTGTTCTTTATTTCCAAGATGATTCTGGCTATTCTGGGTGCTATTAGATGGATTAGGTCTTAATTTAATATTTTCCTAGGAAATGTGAAAATAAATTAACTATATTTAAGACGTAATCTGGAAGGAGGTCTTTCTGTGTTGTTACCACTCATCTCTGACTCACTCATTCTGGTCACATGGTATAGGGGTCCCTTCAGTTGTAGGTTTTGAGCTCTTGAGACTCTGTGTTCACTTCTCTATCTGCATTGCTATTTTATAGGCTTGAATGAGGTGTAATCATTTTGTAGTTACAGTGTGACAGTTGAAGGAGAGAGAAAGAGTTTCCCAAACAAAAGTTAAAGGAGCTCGTCACCAGTAAGCCAGCCTTACAAGAAATGTTAAAGGGAATTATTTAAGTGGAAAAGAAAAAGGCCATAACCAGAAGGAGATTATGAAAGAAAAAATCTCACTGTTAAAAGCAAACATAAAGATAGTGGATCAGTCACTTATAACTAGTATGAAGATTAAAAGACAAAAGTAGTAAAATCAGCCATCTCTTAATTAATTGATACACAAAATAAAAAGATGTAAAATATGACACCAAAGACATAAAACGGGTGTGGGAGAAATAGTAAAAATGTCGTGCTTTTAGAATGTTTTCAAACTTAAGTGACCATCAACTTAAGATGGACTACTATATACATAGTCGTGATAACCACAAACCAAAAATCTATAATAGATACTCAAAAAATAAAGAGAAAGGAATCCAAACATAACACTAAAGAAAGTCATCAAATCACAAGGGAAGAGGACAAGAGAAGGAACATTGAAGAACTACAAAAACAGCCAGAAAACCATTAATAAGGGGTGCCTGGGTGGCTCAGTTGTTAAGTGTCTGCCTTCGGCTCAGGCCCTGATCGAGCCCCACATCGGGTTCCCTGCTCCGCGGGAAGCCTGCTTCTCCCTCTCCCATGCCCCTGCTCGTGTTCACTCTCTCACTGTGTCTCTATCAACTAAATAAATAATATCTTTAAAAAGAAACCATTAATAAAATGGCAATAGGGGTGCCTGGGTGGCTCAGTCGTTGGGCGTCTGCCTTCGGCTCGGGTCATGATTCCGGGGTCCTGGGATCGAGCCCCGCATCGGGCTCCCTGCTCCGTGGGAAGCCTGCTTCTCCCTCTCCCACTCCCTCTGCTTGTGTTCCTTCTCTTGCTGTGTCTGTCTGTCAAATAAATAAACAAAATCTTAAAAAAAAAAAAATAAAATAAAATGGCAATAAATACACACTTATCAATAATTATTTTTAAAGATTTTATGTTATTTTTTTTAAGATTTTTATTGGTCAGAGAGAAAGGGAGCATCAGGTAGAGGGAGAAGCAGGCTCCTCTCTGAGCCAGGAGCCTGATATGGAACTTGATCCCAGGACCCTGGGATCATGACCTGAGCCAAAGGCAGAGGCTTAGCCGACTGAGCCACCCAGGTGCCCCTAAAGATTTTATTTTTAAGTAATTTCCACACCCAACATGGGGCTTGAACTCACAACCCCAAGATCATGAGTCTCATGCTCTACTGACTGAGACAGACAGGCACCCCTTATTAATAATTACTTTAAGTGTAAGTAGGCTAAATGTGCCAATCAAAAGACGAAATAAGACCCATCTATGTGCTTCCTACAAGAGACTCACTTCAGACTTAAAGATACATACAGACTGAAAGTGAAAGGATGAGGAAAGATATTTCATGCAAATGGAAACGAAAAGAAAGCTGGGGTAATAATACTTATATCAGGCAATATAAACATTAAAACAAAGACTGTAACAAGAGACAGTGAAGGGCATAACAATAATAAAGGGATCAATCCAACAAGAAGATATAACAGTTGTAAATATCTAGGCACCCAATATAGGAGCACCTAATTAAGCAAATATTAACAGACATAAAGGGAGGGGTGCCTGGGTGGCTCAGTTGGTTAAGCGTCTGCCTTTGGCTCAGGTCATGATCCCAGAGTCCTGGGATTGAGCCCTATATCAGGCTCCCTGCTCAGCAGGGGGGGGCGGTCACTCTGCTTCTCCCTCTGCCTCTGCCCTTTCCCCTCCACTCGTGTTCTGTCTCTCACTTTCTCAAATAAATAAAATCTTAAAAAAAAAAAAAAACAGACATAAAGGGAGAAATTGACAGTAATACAATACTGGTAGGGGACTTTAACACCCCAGTACATCAATGGATAGAGAACACCCAGACTGAAAATCAATAGGGAAAACAGTGGCTTTGAATGACATATTAGATCAGATGGACTTAACAGATATATATAGAACATTTCAAGCTAAAACAGCAGAATACACATTCTTTGCAAGTACCCATGGAATATTCTCTGGGATAGTTCACAGGTTAGGCCACAAAACAAGTCTCAATAAATTCAAGAAGTTTGAAATCATATCATGCATTTTTTTCCCACTACAATGGTATGGAACTAGAAATTAGAAGAAAAAAAAAAGCTGGAGAAAAACCCCACAAACACATAGAGGTTAAACAGCATGTCATTAAACAACCAATGGGTCAACAAAGAAATCAAAGAGGAAATAAAAAAATACCTGCAGACAAATGAAAATGGACACACATCAGTTCAAAATCTTTGGGAGGCAGGAAAAACACTTCTAAGAGGGCAGTCTATAGCAATATAGGCCTCCTTCAAGAAACAAGAAAAATCTCAAACAATCTAACCTTATACCTAAAAGAGCTAGAAAAAGAACAAAGCCCAAAGTTATAGAAGGAAGGAAATAATAAAGATTAGAATGGAAATAAATGATTAGAGACTGAAAAAAAAAATAGAAAAGATCAATGAAACTAAGATTTTGTTCTTTAAAAAGAAACAAATCGATAGACCTTTATCCAGACTCAATCAGGAAAGAGAACTCAAATATACTCAGAGATGAAAGAGAAGTTATAACCAACACCACAGAAGTACCAAGGATTGTAAGAGACTACCATGAAAAATTATATGCTAAAAAATTGTACAACCTAGAAGAAATGGATACATTCCTAGAAACTTACAAACTTCCAAGACTGAATCAGGAAAAAACAAAGTCTGAATAAACCAATTACTCATACCAGTATTGAATCAATAATCAAAAAACTTCCAACAAAAAAGTCCTAGACCGGAAGGCTTCACAGGTGAATTCTACCAAACATTTAAAGAAGAATTAATATACCATACTCATGGATTGGAAGAATTAATACTGTTTATATGTCCATACTACAAAGCAATCTACAGATTCAGTGCAGTCCTTATTAGAATACCAAGGATATCTTCAAAGAACTAAAATTTGTATGAAACAACAAAAGACTTCCAAAGCAATCTTGAGAAAGAAGAACAAAGCTGGAGGTATTACAATCCTAGTTTTCAAACAGTATTGCAAAGCTATATTAATCAAAACAGAATGGTACTGGTACAAAAATAGACACATGGATCAATGGCACTGAAGA